AAAACAAAGTGCACATAAGAAGGTGATTTTACAGATGGAATAAAAAAGAATCTCGAAGTTATTATTAATGATGATAAAAATATATTATACATTCTTAAGCCGCACAGCACACAATATTTTGTCCAACGGGGGTAGTTTTGTCTTAGGAGACAAATTATTACTATAAAGACAAATTAGAAATATATTACTTTCTGTTTCATTTATTTTTACCCTTGTAGTTTCAAATCATTGCCGTTTTGGTTGCTGAAAATAGCACTTAATTTCTTCACCCTGCGAAGAGTGGTGAAAAAAGACGGAAAATTCAGTTAATGTTTGTAATCAAGTTTCTATTTCTTTATTCCTTTTCATCCTGTATTTTAAACAATTATTGTCTCCAAAAGTGGCTTACATATGAAGAAAGACAGTAACCTCAAGATGGCTGTATCTCTGCTGTAGATATTCTCAGCTAACTAGGCTGCCATTTTTTGTACCAGTTGCAGCTTTTAAATTTTCTTCTAACATAGTTCCACAGAGAGTGGTTGCAGTAATCAGGATGTAAACAACCCAGGGCTTGCAGGCATTGATAAGGCTAGAATTGCCAAACCAATCAAAGTTGAGGAAAGGCTCCCTTGATAATAGCTTCCGCCTGCTGCTCAAGTAGAAACTATGAGCAACAAGGATCACCAAGTCACAGGGCAGAAAGAACCACATAGGGGACAAAGTTGTTGCAATAGTATTTTCAATCATTTAATCTCTCAAAAATCATCCAAGCACCATGTGGCTTCCCAGGATCAGCAAATATGAAAAACCTTGCAGGAGACATTTCATCCAACGTATTAGTCATCCCTGTATTCCAGGCACAGACCCGTCTGCCAAATGAACAGGAGAATCCCAAGAACCCTGTGGAAATTTAAGGATTCAATCCTAGGTGGATTGTCTAATGGATTTTTGGCCTTTCAGTCTACAGTTTAATCAGAAAGCAACTTCATCACTTGTAACTTCTAGTTATCTGAAGAAATGTCTCACCCCAATGAGATTTGTTCACCTCCCCTGTGCTGGCAGAGACTTGTTGCGGGTGGTATCAGTCAAGGAGTTTTGGCTGAAAAGTGTAAACATTGGATCATTGTGCAAATACCTCACCCCCCCCTCAAGGTTAGATCTGCACCCACCTTTCTGACCTTTCGCAAGGGCCTGAAGACCCCTGCCAGTTGGCCTAGGACCCCAAAGCAGGTGCACCATTTTGTAGGTGGCAATTAGATTAGGAAAAACCTCCCCTCTCCCTGTGTGCTTTGTTTCCCTTCCCATTTTAATGATATTTATTATTGTTATTTATTTTATTATTTTAATGTGTGCTAGTTTTAATGTTTGTAACTACCCAGAGTCATAAATAAATATGGCAAGGAAGGTGTCAATGTCTTCCATATTCAAAGAACATCTTATCCACTCTGAAATAAAAACAAGATCCAGTATACTTCCATCTACATATTATTTATTTATTTATTTATATTTGATTTGTCAATCATTTACAAGTTAATAGGTATAAGAATAAACATGAGTGTGAATGAAATGGGTACGAATAAATGGGGACAGTAGGACAGGGACGGTAGGCATGATGGTGTACTTATGCACGTTAATATGTAGTTGTTAATACTTGAAACAGGGCCATTATAAAGGTCATAAAATTTTGAGCCAACAGACTACCTACCCAGTGCATGAAGAATGAAGCCTCCCAAGACTCAGGCTACAGGAATTCCAGCACCAGTCCCAAGATAAATTTATTACACTAATAAGTAAGAGGAATAAAATAATTGTATTTTTGTATATGTGGATTGCAATGAAATTAGATTGTATGCACAAAGAAGGAAAGATTTGGCACTGCCCACAATGGAGGAATTGTTGGTGAAAATGATGGAACTTGATGGAAAGCTCACATAGAAGATCCTAAATTGAGGCATATCTTGTTGCTAACATTTCTTATTTTATTGAACATTTCAAAGAAAGATATTAAACTGAAAGATGGATTAATGATTAAGTTGCATGTCACTTACTGGCGCATAGGCTGGAAAAAATACTTTCCATTTTTAACATGGATAATCATCAGATTATGCAGAGATAATACAAAAATATGGGTTATTTTAGCTATGTGAGCAACTAGAAATCTCCCTGATTTCCCTATCTGGCTTGCCAGTCTGTATCCAGATACTACCCACTATTCTATCACAGCAAGCTGACTTTCTGTGCATACATATCAAGGGGATGCATTCTGCAATGTCACACAGCTAAACATGTTGCCTAAATGGTGTATCTATTACCTTCCTACATTTTACATACTTACATCTTCTAGTAATGTTTTAACTAAGCATCTTCCACAAGATTTCCCCACTTCTCATAGGGAAGGAAAATACACTACATTGCAGTGGTGGGTTCTGGCCTGGCATCCACTACATGAATGCGTGCAACTTGCACATGCATATTTACCTCTTGCGACACTCCAGCTGCTCGGTGGAGTGTTGCACAGGCGCCGTAAGCTCTGTGCATGGAAGCGCCAAAGAGCTCAAATACAGGTAAGGAGCTCGGGCGGGCCGGTGGGCCCTCTGGAGCACTGTACCGGAAGGTACTGTCTGCAACCCACCACTACTACATTGGCAGAACTGATGAAAAGGAAATATGTATTTCCAAGGTCTTGTCTTTAAGGTGACATGAAAAAATATGACTCAACAAAAGCCATACGTTCTAGTAAAATGAGTGCAAACATTGAAGCTGGAAACAATATCTCTTCCAACTAGTAAGACAACAGTTCTACAGATGGTTATAGAAATAATATGGAACAGGTATACTGTATAAATGTCCCTCAAATAGCAGTAACAGTTTCCTACCTTTAGAAGATCCTATCAATGGAAAGTCAGAAAACACCTTTTTTCCAAGTAAAAGTATCAAATACAATTTAAAAATTAGTTTAAAGAAACCAAACCAAGACCAAGCATGGAGTATTGTCTTATATTTTGTGAATCAGTGTTTCAACACCTTTCAATCTGATGCAATTTAAGGCTGATACAGTTGACAGCCAACACTTCTCAAACTAATTGCAGCTTCTTATAAAACTCAGTAGAAATGATGTGTTGGATTGAAAACTGGGCCAGAAAGAGCTCCAGTACCCATCTAGGCCATTTTATTCTTGTCTTTCAGCTTCTGCAATCATTTCCTTCTATTCTCTATGTCTGTTCTTGCTCTTTGTTATCTTTATTACTTAATCATTCTTTATTATTCCCTAAAACAAAACAAAAAACCTGTTTGTTTTTAAACCTGTGACTTTTGACTTTTGCTCAGATGATGTCTATTCCCTTTCTCTTCTTTGTTTTCTTGTGCATCTGAATCTCTGACCAATGCTGGAAGCAATTAAATTGTAAATGGAATCTTATTGCATTGCATGTTATTTTAATTTCCAAGGATAAATATTTGATGTACCCTTTGCCGTATTTTTGCTTGAAAATGAATATAGAGCCAGAAGGGCCTAAACCATAAAGTCTTTATTTTATTTGTATTCTTTAATTTTAAAAGCTTCGGATGCTGTGAATTTGGGATGTCTTGAGGGTTTTTGGGGAAACGGACAAGAGGTTGAATTTGTGCATCTAAGGATAATATAAAAATATACTTCAGAATAAAAGCTACAGGAAAAGCTAACTGCACATGCAGATCAGCCAGCATTTCTTCTGAGACAAGGTCTCCCCTTGATTCAGTGTTATTCTGGTCTTCTATTTTTAGTTACCTTCCAAAGAGTGGAGCAATGAAAGCATCCTTTGAAAGGAGGTGATGAACAAAGGTGCTGGGATAAATTTATGTGGCGCCATAGCTGTAGCACAGCCTCAATCCATACTCTTGCTGGCAGGGCAAGTGCTTGGCAATAGTTGAGGATCTATTAGTCAGCCTGTTCATGGGTATGCACTTCGGAAGGCCTCCTCCCCAAATTATTTACAGACCTCTTTTCAGTCACTCTCTGGGGCCAATGGAGATTTGGACCTACCAAAGCCAAAGAATTGGGACTGGTGCAACTTCGCCCATTTATACATGCAGACAGGATCCTCCTTCAGTCTGCACCAGGATTCTCTCTCCACCTGGACAGGGAGTCCATAAAAGCTGAGTAGGATATAAGATGGGTATGGTTGTAGGAGATGGAAACTGGTACTTGAAGAATGGATGTGGAGAGCATTGGCAATTGCAAGAGAAACTTGTGGGTGATAGCTGGAGCAGCTTGACTGAACAGTACTGCCAGAAAAACAGCTAGGCAGAAGATGCCTAGCAATTTGCCATGGTCAACAACAATGCCTGCAATAAAGGATAGCAGTTCATGCCCATTGGCAGAAGCCTGCCCTAGATCTCAACTCACCTGTGTATGGGCAAATTAATAGAGTCCCAGGCAGATGGTGATGATCATTCTAGGTCCCCAAAAACCTTAAGCAGGAACTATGCCCTGACAAATTATATATTTCTAGAACACTGGGAAGAATCTGAGGAAAAACCAGGAGTAATAGCCAAGTGGCATTGCCAATTTGCAGAAATAAGGATCTAATTTTTTTAAAAGACTAAACTGCACGAAATTCAACGAGTGATGGGGAAGAGATATCATCCAAACTCAGTATGGGAAGGAATAACTGTGGCGTATCCTTTTTCGAGCCTGGGGAGGGCGAAAACAGCTTCCCCCGCCCTCTGGAGGCTTCAGGAAACTCCTGAAGCCTCTGGAGGGCGGGGGAAGCTGTTTTCGCCCTCCCCAGGCTCCTATAAAGCCTCTGGAGCCGGGGGGGGCAAAAAAAGCATGAAAAAAATAGGGGATTGTGCCTGTCATGCACGCATGCACGCTGGGGGATTGCATTATGGGTGTGGCACACCCGCGCACGACCTCCCTGTGCTCCCCCGGCTTTGGGCACATGAGCCAAAAAAGATTCCCCATCACTGCACTAAGGTGACAATGAATTGTAAGTAATGTAGGAAAACAAGGTTTAGTGACTGGATGAATAAGTCACACAGAGATATCATGAGGTTTTAATTCCCAAGATTCAGATAAATAAAAAAGTTAATCTCTTATCTCATAAACAATATACAAAAAACTTCCATGTTCACCAGTAACCACACAAATCAGAAATAAATCATCTTAATTAATACAACTCTGTATGAAACCAAATTAAAACAACATCAATTAAACAATGTAACACTATTTTGAACAGAGGCTAAATATTACGCTTTAAAAGAACTTTCTCTAACCACCTGTCCTTGGGGTTCTAATTTGTAACTGGTTGGAAATTCTGAGGCTTCTAATCTGAAAGTCTTTGGAGGACACCAAGCTGAAGATGGGCAGTTTAAAGTGTAAAGTTCTTTTATGTTCGGATTTCTACAAATAGTCAACAAGCCATTTAATAATGTCATGAGAATCTATGTGTGTGGTAAATACATGCAATACATGGTTCTTTAAGAACTGTATATTTCTCTAACGTTAATTGTAACTTTAATGAGCTTGATTACAGTGTTTATCGGATTTGAAAACACCAAAAGACAATAATAGATAAATACTGCAAATTAGTTGAGTTTGACAGACATTTGTTATTTTTTTGTACTGCCATAGTTATTGACTTTCTAAAAAGAAATATTGCAGCTTTTATTCAGCTATGCTGAAAGATAACCGAGAAGCTCACATGATGAGAAGGCATTAGTTTATAATGCATAATATCAGGGTAGATATACTATGGTTTGAAACAACCACATAGGAATATGACTGCTTGGTACAAAATAAGATACTGTACAAATAGCCTGGTAGACAAGACCAGGCAAACTCAATAGCTGTATTGTCAAGTGGAAAGCACATATTCTGGAAGAAACACTTCAAGGCTAGTTTCTAAGGCAACACTTAAACATATGATCTCTTTTACAGAGGGCCAAGTCGAATAGCAGAAGGTGGTTTGGCATAAAAATATAGATTGTAAGCATTAAGACATTCTAGAGTGGATATCCATTTCTCTTTAATGTTTTGTCCATATACTCTGCATTTTCAATAAGTTCTGTAGTATTCAATACCATACTGCTGAGATAATGAAACAGTTAATGCTGAAAATGCTTGTGAATACATACTCTCTATTGCTAATGAACTTTATATAGTGTTTTTTTTAAATGACCACCTTTTTTTATAGAGTCTATAGCTAGGTTTTGTGCTAAAGAAATGGAAGATCTGTCACATCCTAATGGGTCAATTAACAACTAAAGAATTATTTCTAGCATGGAATCTGCAATTTCCCACAAAAGAATATCCCAGAAAAAGAAGATGAAACTAAAATACACTACTGTTTCATTTTCCTCAAGTAGCAACCTTTTTGAACGTGAAAATATGAAGCAAAATAAAGAAAGAAAAATATATATTTTAATGGAATTCTCTCTCCTGGATCTACAAATATAGAGCAGTCATTGTTACAAATTGCTTTTCAGTGGCTGGATGAATAAATCATACAGTGATGTCAATAATAGAAAAGGTGAATGAATATATTTGCTCTTTTATTATACAAATTCAACATTTTTCTGGAGGAATATTTTCTTTCAATGCATTCAGTTATGTTCTTTTGTTTTAATATGTACATCAGTTTGAATGCCTCCATTATCTTTTTTCCTTCTCTTTGATCCCATGTTTATGTATAAGTTTTCAAACAAAGAACACCACGATGTCCAGGATAAACTACATGTGTAACTAAGGTCAATCTTAGTATGACTCAAACTGTTTTAAGTGAAAATTCAGGATGCTTGGGTCAGAGAAATAATGCTGTCTTCAATCTCTGAAAGTTTTTTCAACATTTCATTCAATTCGGTCTCATCAAATTCCATGGTCAAAAGCTCAGATTCCTACAATAAAAAGGAAGAAAGAGAATAGGTTTAGATAACTTTGTAATGTGAAAATGCAATCAAGACTCTATTCAAAAGATGGAATTAATGACCTTCTTCCCTGCCTAAAATCATATTTTGAATGCTTTTATTTTATTATTAAATTTGTTTGCTGTCCATCTCACTTTTATGGACTTACTACAAGAATACACATGCACACAAAATTACACTTTTATAGATTTCCTGAAGTTGCAGTACCTGGTTTCCCAACTAAATGATATAATTGGTGCATCACGTGTTCTGCCAAGAAGCATCCTGAGTATCTTGCAATCTGAGAACAGAAGGTGCTGATTTTTATACATTCCACATTCAGGAATGCTTCTCACAAGAACTTATCTACTGATAAAAATGCTTGCATATTTGCCATAAACTCCTTGTTTGCTGCCAACCATACTTAGCCATGCCTCCTACACATAATTTTTGTTTTTGAAAATGTTATCAAAGTCCAGAAAATATCTCAACATTTGCCTCTGAATATACATTGTAGAGCTTGACAACTTCCAATATTTCTTTTAGGGAATGTGGTTCTCTATTATTATAATTTTACTTTAGTCAGCCTAGAGAAATTGGGCGTTGGTTCTTACCTGATAAGCTCATTCTCTATACGGTGGATATAGCAGCCAGGATGGGTTGTCTCTGTCCAGTGACCAATAGTACTGAGTCTACAGCTGTGACATCACTGTATCTCTGGTGACTCCTCCCAGCTTTAACGAAGGAAGATCTGTAGACTGACGCATTGTGATAATGACAAAATCCCTATAAACACACTCTCTTCCAGCGTACCCTGTGTTATCCCTTATGTAAAGAAGCGGAAGAACCCTCTCTGAGGCTAGTCATCTATGGGGGGTGCTGGCTGCTATCTCCACCGTCTGGAGAACGGGTGTATCAGGTAAGAACCAATCCCCATTCTCCCCATTTGGTAGAGATAGCATCCAGGATGAGACATACCAAAGCTTGTCCATTTGGTTAAGGGTGGGTAGATGACTGAACTGAGGCCCTTCATTCTGTCCTGACTTGTTGGAGTACCCTCCTTCCAAAGGCAGCATCGGCTGAGGCATAACTGTCTAGTCTATAATGGTTCACAAATAGAGTTGGTGAAGACCATATGGCTGCCTTGCATATTTCCTCAACTGAAGTTTGGGTAGACCACGCTGATGAAGTGGCTGCGCTTCTCATCGAATGCGCTGTCACATAAGGAGGGAACACAGTAAGCTGTGGGATCCGTAGGCCTTTATAATGCAGGACCTGATTCAGTATCAAATGGATCTAGAGGAAACTTTGGCACCCTGTTAGTTTGATGAAAAGAAACAAACAAGGCCTCTGGGCATCTGAAAGATGCAGTTCGAGAGATGTAAATGTGGAATGCATGGTGCATGTCTAGCTTGTGCCATTTATGCTCGAGCCTGTGGCTCGGGGAGAAACAGAAATTGGGCTGGACAATTTCCTGGGCTCTGTGAAACCTGCTGTTGACCTTCAGGATGAACACTGGGTCAAGACAAAGCACCACTCTATTCTTGTGGAAAATACAAAGGTCTTGCCTAATGGGCAGGGCGACAATTTCAGAGATGTGATGCGCTGAGGTGATTGCCACCAAAAAGGCAACCTTTAAGGATAAGTATCTCATACAGATAGTGCAAAGTGGTTCAAAGGGGGACCAGGTGAGGGTGTCCAGGACCTTCCTCAGGTCCCAAGTAGACAATCTGTGTACTGTGGGTGGGCTGATATTGGCCAGCCCCCAGAGAAAGCAAGCCACTCAAGGGTGGCAGGAGAGAGTCTCAAATGACGGTAATATTAGGACTGATGCCAGTGCTGCTACTTGCCTTTTGAGGGTGTTGATGAAAAGACCCGTATCGAGCCCTTGTTGGAGAAAGTCCAAAAATGTAGGGAGTGATACTGTGGCAGGAATGATTTTATGGCTGACGCACCAGTTGTTGAAGGCTCTCTAGGTAGCATCGTATATATGGTTGGAGGAAGCGTGCCTGGAGGCTTGGAGTGTTTGGATGACCCCTGGAGATAGACTGGCCGCTGCTAGGGTCGTCTGCTCAATCTCCAGGCGGTCAACTGCAACCAGTGTGGGTCTGGGTGGATGAGAGAGCCCTAAGTTAGGATCCACCTGGATGTGGGAATCTGCCATGGAGAGATTTACCAAGTCTGTGAACCACAGTCTGGGTGGCCAGTGTGGGGCTAGAAGTATGAACTCCGCCTGTTCTTTGATCATTTTGCGGATCACTCTCTGGACTAACGGTAGAGGAGGGAATGCATAGAGGAGACCCTCCAGCCACCTGCAATGGAGAGCATCCACTCCCACCAACCTGGTGAAGAATGTGAGCAGCTTGTAGAGGTGAGTCAAGAACAGGTCTATCACTGGAACACTGAACCTGTTGGTCAGTTAGAGGAACAGCTCCTGTATTATACTCCATTCTGCGTGATCCACCTGGGAGCAGCTTAGCCAATCCACTTGGACATTGTCCACTCCGCTGATGTGTTCCATGCAGAGGGACAACAGGTATCGGTCTGCCCAGGTGCTTTGTCTCGTCCATCACAGAGTGGGACCGCATGCCCCCTTGGTGGTTGATGTGTGCCTTTGTTGTTATGTTGTCCGTGAGGACCAGCACATGGGAATCTGCTACTAGGGCTCAGAACTGCTGGAGTGTGAGGTGGACCGCTCGCAGTTCGAGCCAGTTGATGTTGTGTTCTGTCTCCTGAGGAGATCAGTGCCCTGCACTATCTGAGTGTGGAGATGCCCCCCCCCCCAACCCACGAGCCTGGCGTCCATCGTGATCGCGACATGGTCTGGTTCCATGAAGGAGCATCTATTGGCAACCGTTGGGGAGAGCCACCACCCCAGGGACCAGATTACCTTGTTTGGAATGGTGACCAACCTTGCTGAGCAGCTCCTTTTGGCTCTCTGGCACTCTGGTGGGGAAGGAGGAACTACTGCAGGCTTCGACTGGGCCATGGAACAATGCCAAAACAGGAGACCATTTTGCCCAGAAGTTGGGAAAGCCGGATAAGGGATGTTCTGTGACTCTGCTTCACTTGTTGGGCCATTTCCTGTAGGCTGGAGAGACGGTCTGGAGAGAGAAAGACTGTGCCATGCACTGTGTCGATTACTGTGCCCAGGTGTAATAATCGTGTCATGGGAATGAGGTGGCTTTTCTTCACGTTGATGGAGAAGCCATGGTCCCTGAGGGCCGAGAGTGTGGCCTCATGATCCTTGCATGCCTGATTTGCTGACCTGGACTGAGTTAAGATGTTGTCCAGGTAGCACTGCAGTCTGATGAGCCAGGCGTGAAGATGGGCTGCCAATGCCACAAGAACCTTTGTAAATACTCTTGGTGAGGACAACAGGCCAAATGGGAGGGCCCTATACTAGTAATGCTGTGTTGCATAGCAGAACTGAAGGAATTGCCTATGGACCAGTAATATGGGGGTGTGGAGGTATGCCTCCATCAAATCCACTGATGTCAGGTGGTGCCCTCCCTGATCCTCTCTAATATGGTCTGGAGAGGATGCATCTTGAACCTGTGATATTTTACATACTGGTTCAAAGTTTTTAGGTCGAGAATTGCTCTCCAGCCCCCCAATGGCTTTGGAATGACAAGCAGCCGTGAGTAAAACTCTTGACCTACCTGATCTGGAGGAATTGGTTGAATTGCCCAGATTTCTAGCAGGTGTTGATGGAACTCCTGTTCCATCAACACAGACTCCTGTTCCATCAGGAGTCTGCAAGGTGGCTCCTGAGAGATGGGGGAAGGGACAAAGAGAATCGGGGGTGGGGTGGGGGTGGAGAGGACAGGCTGAATTTGATTGTGTTTATTACCCTCAGGCCCATGGTCGTGCCCTCTCAGTGATCGGCAAAGGCCAAGAGACGACCTCCGATCAGGAGATTGTCCAGACAGTCACTTCTGATGTCTGAACAGGCGGTTCCCTGCACCCTTGAAGGGCTTCTTAGGGGGGAAACCATGACCTCCTTTCCCGAAGCTGTTCTGTGACTGATAGGATTGTCTAGGGGTGGACTAGCGTTGAAGGGAAGCATAGAACCCCCCCCCCCATCCGATCCCAGAAAAGGAGACTGGTGGTAGAAAGGACAGGGTCTGGGTTCTGATTTGAGAAAAAGGGAAGGCAGAATTTTGCATTTGTCGCGTGATTCCACCAGTAGAGGTTCCAGCAAAGCCCCCAAAGGTTTCCCCCCGTAAATGGAGCCAACACCAGTTTCCATTTGGCTCTGGTGTCTGCTTGCTATTGTTTCAGCCAGAGCAAGTGTCTGGTGGAAACAGAGGAAGCCATGGCTTTGGAAGTGAACCTGACTGAATTGAGGGATGTGTCAGCCACAAATTCCACTGCAGCCTTAATTTTATTAAGGTCTGTGCGATCTAGAGTAAGAAGAAGGGAGCCGTTTCTGGAGGTTCTGACAGCCCAGGCTGCAGCCTGATGTCCCTTGACAAGCATCTGTTCAAAAAGCTTGTCCTCAAGTTTCAAGACCTCCTCCGGGGCCTCAGACACTGCTGAGGGAGAGGACAAGGCAGCCATCAGGGAGGAGGGACTATGGTTGGGGTTCCTAACAGCTTCGCTAGCTCAGGCCCTACACTGTAAAGTCTCTTGTCCAAAGAATTGGGGAAGGGCCCCGATCCCGGGGATCCCTATTGCCTTTGGACCAAATCTAGAAAAGATTTAGTAGAAGGAATGACTTCCTTTTCTAGTGTGGGCTCCAGAAAGAGGGAATCCACTGGAGGGTGAGTTAATCCTACTTTGAAGATCTTTTTAGCCTTAATCAGGAGAGACTTAAAAACTGCTGGTTTGAACAGGCCCACAAAAGTAGGTTGATCTGATGTTAAGTCTTCATCTTCTGATAAGTTAGAATCTCTGACTACTTCTTCTCCCTCCAGCCCCACTGAGGCCTGGTCTGAGTGGGTGGGAACAGATTGCAAGGATGGGCTCTTCCTGGTTTGAGATTGCCT